AGTGATTACTAAAAAGCTTTGTGGGAATGTATTGGCACCAGGGTGAAGTTTATGGTAAGTTTTTCCTCATAAAATTGTACAGTATGTTGATGTGCGTTTGTTTTTCAATATCATTAGCATCGTAAGATTTGTTTAGTTTACTCGTCCGTAATGCACACCCGCCTTCAGAGTCAAGAACCAATCAAATTTTGTGAAGACAAGCGACCTGAGAGCGCGATTCGCAACGCTGCGATCGCTATCGCGTCCCGTGTGTCGGGTTTCACCCTGGCTGCGATGACAGCCGTTAATCGCTGTAGTTTGTCGCTCCCCGTGTGTCGAGCCCTTTAATCGCTGTAGTTTGTCGCTCCCCGTGTGTCGAGCCCTTTAGACTCAGACAGCACATGCAGTAGGTCATTTATTTATTTATTTTAACATTGAATTCTTTTTTACTTAGTGTTTACTTGATCTTATCTGATTGTATTTTTATTCTGCTGTGCAGCACTTTGGTTGCCATTGGCTGTGAAAAGGGCTAGACAAATAAAGTTTTGATTGTTTTAAACCCAAACACCAACCTGCTGCAGAATGATTGTTGGGCTCTTTAAGGTTTGGACTCTGCAGAGGATCTTAGGGCTGAAAGACTCTGAGTGATTCACTCCCTGCATGCAGGAGAACAACAAGAAGTTTGGTTTGACCTTGATTTACTTGCCCCGGTGGGATTTGCGATTATGAGATGACATGAAGTGCACGGAGGGGAGTCAGAGACGTAACACCAAAGGTTTTCCCTCTGGATGTTCACTCTGCAAACATTCCTATTCAAAATCCCCCGGCTGTCTTTTCTGTCAGCTCCTCTAGAACTTAAACCACCTGAGAGCTGCAAATTAGTTTTTTTTTTAAAATGTCCCAAAGAGAAAAATTAAATATTTTGTGTAAAAGAACATCATCACATCTACGCTGTTTTGCTGTCATGTTTTCCCACTTCAGAGGCACCTTTTCCTGCTGAAAAATCGGAGCAGGAAGATGTTTATTTTCCTTCGAGCCCCAATCTGTTTGAAATTAAAGCCACATTTGTCCGTTTAATGGTGCCGCTCTTTGAAACTGTTTATGTAACAGGTAACTCTAATACAGTCTGACGAGGCTTGACCTCATCCGCGTGTTTACATTGAGGAGATGTATTCCAGGCAGCGTGTGCACATGTGTGAAGGCGTGCCGTATCACGTTTCACA